TTTTTTTTTTTTTTTTTTTTTTTTTGTGGTTTTGGACTAACACCAAAACCTGACCGTTATCCGTTATGTATCGAAGTGCCACACAATCACTACCTTCTTACAGGAATAACGGAAATACAGCATCAGCCAACAATTTAGCACCACAGTCACTAGACGTCACAAATATTTCAATATAAACATGTTTAATGTCTTTAATCTTTAGTTTGTCAGTTCCTATTAATGTTTGGTAAAGTTCAACAAAATATCTGCACAGTGGGAAAGTCTTTGTCCTTTTGTGGTGACCCAGGGTTTGTAGAAGAAAGAAGAAAAAAAAAAAAAACAAATAGTGTGAACCACCAACACCCAAAAATCAGGACAGGGAGGCGTCTCTACTTGCCTGTAAATCATTTTCCTGTTGGTACAGAAAGCTCCTCCTTTTCCGCTAGCATTCAAAGGTGCTACCTGTGATTTATAGGTGTGGCTTTAAAGGGAGCGCCGAGAGTGCACTTGATTTGACTTTCAATAAAACCAAGTTTTAGCTCATTGTCTGCAGTTTAGCTTTCAGAATCCGGTCGTATAAGTAGGAACAGCAGTCACTCGTCTGCGCGTTGTCTCTCTCTGTAGCTCCAGCACGAGAAGGCCGAGTTGGAGCAGCACTTGGAGCAGGAGCAGGAGTTTCAAGTCAACAAGCTGATGAAGAAGATCAAGAAGCTGGAGAACGACACCATCACCAAGCAGCTCACTTTAGAGCAGGTAACGCTGGGAAAACTGTCTGCGCTACTACTGTTACCACAAGTGAGGAGTAAAACACTTAGGGGCGTGCTATTATAGGGAAATAATCAACAGTACTACAAGCAGAGTTACTGCCTCAGAGTTGATTACTTTCCTTTAACAGCACCTCAAAGTGTTGTATTCCTCTTACACTACATTTGCCAACAATTTACATAAAACAGTTTAGCTCCTGGTATCACTTGTGTTCTAGTAGCTATAAACAGTGGTTCCTTACCAGCCTCATTTTTGTGTTTTCTAGACACACTGAGGAACTCTTTTACATCTTAGGGATCTATACTTTTATTTACTTTAACCTGTGTTGTGATTTTGGTATCGTGGATTTTGTTCGAAGTAAACAAGACGAAAAAATGCAGTTTTTTTTTGTGTTCTTAGAAACCACAAGGCAAAAAACTCCTCTGTCCTGACGACTGTCGTGTCTGACAAAGCGCCGACGCTGGAGACTCCTTCCGTAAATGTCATATAAACGTCTCCTTACAGAAAACATCAACAGCTGTTAAAGATTTTGCAGCGTGAACACTGACGTGCTTCCGCAGGATTTAGAAAACGCGAAATTGAGCTCCATGAGCGCATTTCGAGTTGAGAGAACTTTCTAGAATCGGTGGATTTGTCGTTTAGACTCTAAGGGGCCGTTTACACGACGTTTTCAGGCAAAAATGGGAAACTTTTTATGCCTTTTGTCTGTTCGTTTACACGACAGCGGCATTTTGGGGACTGAAAACGCATATTTTTGAAAACGTCTAGATCCCTGAGATGTGAAAGAGTTCCTCAGTGTGTCTCTTTCCTTCCTTCCTTTCTTCTGTCCTTCATCCACCTTTCCTTTACTGCTCCCTTCCTTCCTTCACCCTTTCTCTCCTTTATTCCTTCCTTCAGTTTCTTCTTCCTTCGTTCTCTCTTTCCTTCACTTTCTCCTTCATTCACCCCTTCTTTCCTGATTCATCCTTCCTTCGCTCTTTCCTTCACTCCTTCCTTTCTTCCTTCCTTCCATCCTTCCTTCCTTCCTTTAATCACACCTTCGTCCAGTCCTCCTTTCTCCTTTCTTTCACTTCTTTTTTTTTTTTCTGCTTTCCTTCCTTTGCACTTTCCTTCTTTTACTCCTTCCCTTTGATTTCATCCTCTGCTCAATCCTTTCTTTCTTCCTTCACTCTTTCCTTCCTTTCTTCTTTTCTTCCGTCCTTCTTTCGCACTTGTCTTCATATTTTTGAAAACGGGTTCCGAAGTGCAAGTTTTTGAAAACGCAACTGTTATCGTCTCCATGTAAACACCCAAAACGGGAATCTTTGAAAACGGTGACGTCATGCACGTGCGTAGTGCGTGTTAGGTATGTAGACGTGCGCAGTACGTGTCTATTGTATGTCTATTGCATACGTAATACAGCGTTTTTGCCCGTTATCGCGGATATGTGTAAACGCGAATCGTTTTGAAAACGTTGTCATGTATACGTGAAACTTTTTGAAAACGCAAGAGAAAAACTTTTCAGTTTTTAACTACATCGTTGTCGTGAAAACGTAGCCTCACTTTGTGGATCGTGTGTGTGTGTGTGTGTGTTTGTAGCTGCGCCGTGAGAAGATCGACCTGGAGAACACGCTGGAGCAGGAGCAGGAGGCGCTGGTCAACCGGCTTTGGAAGCGCATGGACAAGCTGGAGGCGGAGAAAAGGTGCGAATCGGAGCGCTGATCCAGGATCAGGCGTCAGTAGTTGGGTTCGTGAAGGCGTAAGGCGGTGAAAGTTGTACGTTACAGTGCACGTTCATGGTTTGTGGGCTTTTCAACAGGCTTCAGGTGATAATGTGCTCTTCTAAAATGTTTAATTGTGGAGATCCTACACCATTCTTCCAATATGTTGAGTTTAGGAAATGGATAAAAAAAAAAAATTAACTCCTTCACAACAACCAAAATCTCACTGAGACCAAGAGTAGCTAAGCTGTGATTGGTGAGTCACTTATTTTAGGGGCGGGGTTTGGTGAGCGGATCAGTGCGCCAGGTTGTGGTGTGTGTACCGTGTGTGATATCAGCCACCGCTCTGTTTGCCAGGATCCTGCAGGAGAAGCTGGACCAGCCGGTGTCGGCCCCGCCCTCCCCGCGAGACATTTCCATGGAGATCGACTCACCTGAGAACATGATGCGGCACATCCGCTTCCTGAAGAGTGAGGTGGAGAGGCTGAAGCGCAGCCTGCGCACGACCGAGCTGCAGCGTGAGTAACACACACACACACACACACACGCAGGTACAGTGTGTACATGTCACAGTGTAACGCACTTCAGGGTTTTTGGTTTGTATTGAACGCCGTTATTTACTTTGTAGTAAACACTCAGAAAGAGGACGACAGGAAATCAGATTCTAACCACACACAGTACGACTCGCAGTGAAATGCTTTATACGACTGTTCCGACATAAAATAAGAAAATATATAGAAAAATATTAAATGTCAAGACAAATATATACGTGAAAAAACGTGTAAAAACGTGTATAAGAATATAAATAAATGTGTATAATATTATGCCACATATGGATGGTGGCAGCAGGCGAGGGATCACGGAGGATCGTAACACAAACCACGGCACAGGTTAAAGTAAATAAACGTCTAGATCCCTGAGATGTGAAAGAGTTCCTCAGTGTGTCTCTTTCCTTCCTTCCTTCCTTCCTTCTGTCCTTCATCCACCTTTCCTTTACTCCTCCCTCCCTTCCTTCCTTCACCCTTTCTCTCCTTCCTTCAGTTTCTTCTTCCTTCGTTCTCTCTCTCCTTCACTTTCTCCTTCATTCACCCCTTCTTTCCTGATTCATCCTTCCTTCGCTCTTTCCTTCACTCCTTCCTTTCTTCCTTCCATCCTTCCTTCCTTCCTTTAATCACACCTTCGTCCAGTCCTCCTTTCTCCTTTCTTTCACTTCTTTTTTTTTTTTTTTTTCCTGCTTTCCTTCCTTTGCACTTTCCTTCTTTTACTCCTTCCCTTTGATTTCATCCTCTGCTCAATCCTTTCTTCCTTCCTTCACTCTTTCCTTCCCTTCTTCTTTTCTTCCGTCCCTCTTTCGCACTTGTCTTCACTACTTCCTTCCTTTCTTCCTTCCTTCTTTTAATCACACCTTCCTTCAGTCCTCCTTTCACCTTTCTCCTTTCTTTCACTTTTTTTCCCCCTGCTTTCCTTCCTTTGCTCTTTCCTTCTTTTACTCCTTCCCTTTGATTCATCCTCTGCTCAGTCCTTTCTTTCTTCCTTCATTCTTTCCTTCCCTTCTTCTTTTCTTCCGTCCTTCTTTCGCACTTGTCTTCACTACTTCCTTTCTTCCTTCCTTCTTTCAGTTTTTAAAAAAAAAAAATCCTTCCTACTTTATCACAATTTTCACTCCTTCCTTCTTTCTGTCCTTCCTTCTGTCACTCGAATCTTCCTTATATTCTGAATTCGTCCCTCTTTGTTTCACACTTTCCTTAAATTCTTTCACTCCTTCCTTTCACTGAATGAGAGATAGTGGCTGAGTGATGTATTAGTACTCAGGCTTATGGTTAGTTTTCGAGTGAAATAAAAAGCAGAATGTAATGTTTTAAATGTATTTGCAGCGTCCGTTTGATTATGGTAGCTTTTATCCTGGTTCAAGTACATCATTTCTGTAAAGATTGCTAAGCTGCTCCAAAAGGAAACACAGAAACACCTGCTTATATGGTGCTGCTTGTTTTATGGTTTTTTTTTTTCTCAGCATTGTTAGATTTTTTTCACTGGTTGCTGAGCAAAAATGTGCTGTTTTGTGTAGTGTGCACATTCTGGTGTTGAGTCACTAGAGGGCGCTCTCTTCATTTTCACTCAAATGCCTTTGGAATTTTACAGCTTCGTCTTAATCACGTGCTGGTTTTTTTTCTTTTCTTTGTGAAAGCAATATCAACTATGACTGCGGCTAGATACAGAGCTAAAGGTTGTGTGTTTTCTAAAAAATAAAATCTAAGCACTAAAATATTCGAACACAGAGGTAAGTAATTCCAGACCACGCTTTGCACTGTAGCGTGGAAATTGATTTCACTGGTTTTTTTTTTGTTGTTGTTTTTTTTTTTTCCCAATTGATGTCATTGGTCTTGTTGATTTT